GGCTGGGTCACTGTTTGACTTATCTTCAAAATGAGTTCTTCGTGTCTGGAATTCAGCAAAGATTACATGTTACTCTTTTTAGAAAAACAGTCAGCAAAGTTAATGGCCTTGAAATGTTCCACAATGGAGAGAAAGCTTTAAATGCAATTCCATGTATGTATGTCAGTGTCCAGTGTATGCAGTACCCGTGGAGCATACGTTCAGAGCAAAGATTGACTGTGCTTCACTGAGCTACTAACCTATGATTGTTTATTTTTTAAATCGTTGCAGGCTTCTGTATGATTCAGGTCTTTTAGTGCCTTAGTGTTTTGTTTGCTCCCTGCTTAGATTAAGGAGCTAATAGTTCGGTTTACTCTTTGGGAAGCTTTTTACTTTGGCATAGGTCATTGCCCAGTGGTTATCAGGCACGTTAATCTTGATGTGCTGTGAACTGAAGATGGGGTGTATCTGCTTTAGATGAAGGTTACTGGGATGCAGTAAAATAACACATAAGAGAATTGTGTAGGATCAGGGTCCTGCTGCCTGACTTTAGAAGATCTTTTGCCTTACTTTATACAATAAGGCATAGTTGTCACTTCATTTGCAAAATGCAGTTCAAATATTTTAAACTTAAGAACCTTCTTTCCTTTCTTGCAGACCTCTGCTGTATTCCTTAATTACCTTTTAATTTCTGTGAAAAATGAAATGGCTATCTTTATAGGACAGCCTCCTGTATTTGTATGATGATTCATTTCCAGGGCATGTTTGTTTTGGTCCCTGAATGAGGTGAGAGTCCAATGGGGAAAAATAATGTATAGTCATCTTGTTACAAATGACATCTTTGTGTCGCCAGGGGTGAAAGTAAAACTAAGCACCATTATTTCTGGTTGTAAGCTGTTCTCCATTTGTTGCTGTGCTCGTATTCCATTGTGTTTTTTTTTGTTGCTTCCTGATGATAAAATAAACCCCAGACCCCTACATTATGATTAAGGAGGCACGCAATCAAATTGCATGGCATAGTGCCTTTATATTTATTGTTTACTTTTAAAGCATGAAATCCTGGAGATTGGTACTCTGTACTGATCAAATGAAGTAGTTTGCTCCAGATGTGTGGGTTTTTGCCAGTTGACTTTGCAAATGCCTGTAGACAGTAGAAGCATCCTCCTGATGCCTTTGACAAGCTGCAGGAGGAAATTTGCTCTACTGGGAATACTTTTCCTTTCTCATTTCTTCATTGCCTAGTTGTGTCTTCACTACTTCTCAGTGTGAGTCCCAGTTTATGTACTCTGTAGCTGTGGCTTAATTTAGTGTAGGATGTGTTCACTATCCCTGTTCCCATGTTCTTACTCTCTTTGCATAGGATCCAGTCTCCTTGCTCTTTTAAAACTTTTAGTTTCCCATCACTTCTGTTTCCTGTACTTCTTAATAGACTCCCAACTACACTAAACTCTACTCCTCATCTGTCGTCTTACATTTGATTTTTGTAGTTCTTTTTCATTCTTTCCCAGTCAGTGCCGATGTTGTCTGCTTGTTTCTCCGGCTGTCCTATTCTGACTCTTATTCTTTCAGCAGAGTTGTGTATTTTGACCTACTTTTCTTGTTTGGTTGTCAAATCCAGTTCTGTGCCTCATTTTGGTGGTCTTATCTTGCTGTTAGCAACTGAAAACTTTCTGAGAAATAACTTTTGGCAAATGCCTCTGTTTCCATTTATTTCCACCTTTTTTTTTTTTCTTTCCCACTTCTTTCAGCTCTTTCTCATGGAGCATACTAAAAATTTGGCTCATTACATAGAAGCGAGATAGAAAAGGTATTTATATGGCACAAAGGCAGCTTTCTCTTCTCTGTATTTGCTTATCTCATTGTAGCAGGGGGATCTTCCTCTCAGGTTAGCCTTGACAGACATCAGACATGTACCTCTCCAGTTATTCTGCAGTCCAAATTCAGCAAGAAACTAATGTTTAAAGCTTTTAATGAATAATTTTATACCAATTTTTAGTAAGAGAAAATTGCAAGTCTGGAAGGCTGTGGAAATGGTGCTTTCATTGTAAGGGTGTTGAATTCCTACTGTGTAACTTCAGAGATCACAAATACAAGCTAGCTAGCATCAGAGGACTTGATATCTCAGTCTGCAGTGTGGGATTTTTTTTAACAAGTGAAATTCTCTGCATTCTTAGCAAATTTCATTACAGATTTACCTTAGTCCAAGAAAAAATACTATTTCACAGTTTACTGTCTCTCAGTTGGAGACCACTTATAGTTTCTCAGCTTTTACTTGGAAACAAAGCAAAAATAGACTTCCTAGTCCTTTTGGCTGCTAGTGATCTTATAGCAGGCTAACTTCAATTGAAACTTCAATATGTTTAGCCTGTCAGTCGTTTTCTTATTCTTAGAAGTTCTGAACAGTGATGAGGTGGATCCCAGGTGGTGGTAGGGTTCTCTACTCAAGCATGGCTTCCACAATTAAAATGTGCAGATTTACTGATTTGTCCATTGGTCTTTAATCTACTCTGCCTGTGTTTAGCAGAAAGGGGATCAAAGTTTTTGCTGGAAACAGCTGCTGGAGTTAGATGCTGTGTTGAGGGTCCAAAGCTATTTGCTTTTTTCTTTTTACATCTCTGTTGGTTTTGTTGAAATGCGAAAAGCATAAAGGGTTTTGTACCTGTTACCTGTTTCCAACACAAAAAGTTCATTTACATAGCCTTGCAAAAGTTTATGTACCTAGCGTGCCTCTTTGAAGAGGAAAGCAACTCTAAATTGTGAAGTTGCAGACAGTTAATAAAGCTTTCAGAATCAAATATTTAGATCGTGATATTGCTCCAGGCAGCACTGACGTTATCATCAAAGGAAGTTATACATCTTGAAGCTGAGAATCATGAGAAGAAAACATTCTCTTTTTATTCTGTTATCAGATGGAAAAAAAAAAAAAAAAATCAAAATACCTTGATACAAGTAGCTCGATAAAGCCTGAAAACTAAATCTGTTTTCACATCAGAAAAAGTTGATACCCTTCTTGGTGAAAGGTTACTTTTCTATTGAGGAAAACAAAAACCGAGTACTACTTGCATTCATTGTGGATCTGTGACTGGGATATAAATACTGGGAGCTGTGGTCACATTTCCCTCTGAGGTCAACTTTAATTCTTCTGGGCGCTGTGCTGGGTAGGTTATGGAGGGGTAATCCTGGACCCTTCCAAAAAAACTGCCCTGTAAAATAGCGGGAATTTCTTTCAAGTATGCACTGAGAGTTTTTTGCCTAGTGGTTCTATTGTGGAACAAAGACGATGGATTTTTATACGGGATGAAAGTTTTGCTTTTGAGTTTTGTGTCGCTAAAAGCTACTGACTTTGAGGAGACTCAAAAATAGTGACAATTTTGATCACCTCATAGTCAAATACTGTGTCTAGAAGTGTGAAGTGCACATACTGAGCCTGGAGAAGGAGAATTTTCTCTAGAAATGAAATCAACTTCCATTATGAATCATTGCAGCTGGAGGTGCTGCTTGCTATTGAATTTGGTAATGTTCTTCCCAGGCAGATTTCTTGGAGCCTTTCCTAGGCATACGCTTTCAAGTTGAATATTTACCAGCCATGTAACTGCCAGAACTGAACCTTCGGCAAGACAGCGGTGTGCAGGGTGGTGGAACTCTAACTGCTGTAGTCTTCATCAGTTTGCTGGTTCCTCAGGGTTCTTGTTGTTTGGTGATTGTCTTTCTCTGAGATTTTCCAAAATTGTATTCTGCTGTTGACTGAAATGCAATGTTTTTCCTGAATGTTTTCCACTTTGTCATTGGTTTGCATGCTTTCAGTCACACAGAAACATGATCCAGGGTCACTAACCTGACCCTTTGTAACGTTAGATTGTGTTCCTAGAGTTGACCATTGGTTTTGGTAGTTTATCATGATGTAGAAGGAAATACGAACCTTATTATATTATGTAATGTATTAATTGATAGCATACTGAAGGATAAAATGAAGTAATAGAAATGGTTATATTGGAGATTGTTCCAATTAAAATAAAGATGTGGGGAGGCCAAAGAATAACTGATTACTGAATTACCTAATTTGCTAATTATTGAAATAGTATTCAGTAGTGATTTGCCTTTTTTACTTGAATTCCTGCATAAGCTCACATTGTAAATATTTGTATTTGGCTTATCACTGTAACTGATATGCAAACTTGATGCAAGTTTTCTTTTACATATTAAAAATCTTTCCATCCTCATTGGTATATTTCTCATTCTCATGAAAAGAAAAACCATTGGATGTCTTAGGAACACAAGCCTCTTCTTTCTGTTGCTGAATAGAAACTGAAGGATTGCATTTAGAAGAATTGGGACAGTGAGACTGTGCTTCCTGTGTGGTTTAGCACTCCTGTTGTGTAACTGAGGTAGGGTTGGGCGCGTAATGTAATACCTCCAAATTTGTCTTCACATCTGATTCAATACATTGAGTTTGGGTGTTCTGAAAGTTTATATTGCTGCAGAGCCTGCTTTATAACATCTTTGCACATGTTAGAAATTTCACGTTAGTGAATAGCATCTTTCTTTGGAAGGGTCAGATGTAGTCTGTTGACCTGCGGCGTTGTGTAGGTCTGGTGTTTAGGAGTAGGGCAGGAGAAGTGTCGTTTGTTGGAGCTGACCTTTGAATCCCTGCTGTGGGCAAGGTGGAGAGCAGGCATTGTTTGTGTCCTGGTAAGTTGTTGCAGTCTCATTAAATCAGGCTATTGCTTTTTTTTTTTTTTTTTTTGGGGGGGGGGGGGGGGAATTATGAGACGGAAGGACAAATACTACAAGCTCTTCATTTTACCCATTGCTTCCATTATCTCCTCACTTAGGTTTCCTCTGTGCCACTAGGTCCTCATCTCTGCAATGCTATTACAGAATTCTGCACTTAATCCTAACCTTAGCAAAATTTCTCTTCTGGTCACCTCCCAGCCTGTCCTTAGTGCTCTATCAACCACTTTTCCCCTCTTCTGTTTCAGTGAGAGGAGAGAAAATTTTCAGCAGTTTCCTGCCTTGTGAAGTTCTTTCTGGCTTAAAAATTGATTGCTGTCATACACCTGGATAGTAGCAGCACTACAGCATCCTCTAGTGGTCTGCTTGGTTTGCTGAACTTGCTAATTACCAGCAAGGCTTTTCAGGTAGCCTTTTGAGGGGAAAGTTTTGCTGCTGACTGACAGCAGGGCACTTAATTGTCTCTCTCTGCAGTAGCCCTCAAGTACTGACAGTGCACAAGATACATTTTAGGGACATTTCAGCTTCTGTAAAACCACTTGCTATACTGTGATGAGTACAAATGTTGATTTTTTTTACTGTTCTTTCTAAATGGAAACAGACTGTGTGTCCTGCATTTGTTCTTCCTTCAGGACTGCTTAGTCTGAAGATAACAAGGAGTTACTGCATCATGCATTTTCTATCCAGAATTAATAGTATATATTTTTAATAGCTTCTACTGAGCATTCTCAAAGGGTGTTGATTATTTTATACACTTGGATGAAATCCTTCACTTAAGAGCTCTGCTTTCTTATCCTTTTAAAAAAAAAAAAAGAAGAAGAAGAACAAACGATGTTTGTTTTTAATGCCATTTTTCTGTTTAGTGTGACATAAGGCACTTCTTAGCACCTCTGTTGGTTCTGCCATGATTTCAGTGGCAAGTTGATAGTTGTTATAAAGTACAATATACAGTCACAGATGTTAGTGGTTCTAATTAGCAAGGTGTTCAGCTATCTATTAAGACACTGCATGTACCCTCGTAAACTTAGAACGCAAAATAGCAAGGTATGTGTAAACTGATTTTCTGCTTGCTTTTAGGAACATGGTAATTATAAAAATCAGTTGATTTTGAAGTTTGGCTAATATTATAGCACAAGCAGTGTGGTTACATAAGTGGCAGATTAGTGAGGAAATGTGAGTGGTGGCAACAGAGTCTTCTGGTGTGATTTCTTCCCTCTTTGACGATAAAAGGCTGTCAGTGTTTGTCAATTTAATAAAAGTTACTTTCTTTGATAGGCTGGACTAATTGAAGCCAATGGAGAGCTTAAGGTGTTTATAGACCAAAACCTAAGTCCTGGAAAAGGTAAGAACACAATTTTTAGTAAGACTGTTTCTTGATTGTTGATTGTTATGCTTGTTACTGGCTTTGATCTACTTTCTTAGCTTTAGTAAAGCTTTTCTTAAGTTATATGTTACGTGCTCAGCAAACAAGCTATAGTTTAATTAAGATCAGTTTCAGTTGTGATTTTACTGCCATTCTGTATTTTGATCTTCACATTAGAATAGCTGTGATGTAAGTGTGCAGGCTGTGATGACCAAATACATCTTCTGGGGCAGTATGTTCTAACAAATGGGAAAAATGTAGGAGTGCAGTAGTTTGAGAGAGGTTCTGACAGTTTGTATGATACTGCATTCATACTAATGCAGTTCTGTCTGAAATAATAATTTGAACAGAACCGTTCTGGACTCGCTCGTAGTGGCTGTGCTTGTATGACAGTGTAATATAATCAAGCAGTTTTATAAAACAGGCTATAAACTTCAGTTTGATATGTAGGCTCAGAAAACTAAGATTATCTAAACATTAGAAGAGTTATGTGCTGTCTGTTACGTTTAGCATAACTGGGAAAGAAAACAGAATACAGTGAGTTCCAGTTGTCTGCAGTTCTAGACAGCTATGTCATATAATCTTTTGTAAATTGATTATGCTATATATGAAAATCAGATTTTTCTTCTCTGTATTCTTATGGGATGTTTCCATAGTGAGATTTCCAGTTAAATGTATTCTTGCCAGTTCATGCATTTGCTGATGGCAGTGTTATTTTTCAGTCTAATACTTTTCTCCAATGTGTTTACCTGTTCTCTGTAAAGAGCAATGATGTATCTTAAGCTTCTAGTTTGATGGGCTGGCCAGATTGTTTTCTAGATTAGTCATCAGATGTATACTATGTACTCTGGATTTTCTGCGTGGTCAGTTGTCTAACCATTTTTTATTGCATTCATCAGCCTTCTTTAACACAAGTGACCCAAATTGTATATACAGTTCCAAGTCAACCGTTGGCCATGTTTTTATGGAGGTATCAGTATTTCTCAGTGCGACATTGTGTTTGTGGTTCACAGTCATCTCACAGTAGATTTTGGTGGAATGGCTGTTTTTCTTTGTTGCGTCCAAATGCTGATAGTCTGGTTTATTTGTGTGCAACAGATGGAGTGCTTTGGTAGGTTGTACTAAGTAGGGCAAAGTTGATTTGGACTGACTCACCTGCTGCTTCTTATCTGTGTTCTCATAAACCTCCATGTTGACAGGTCCATTGACTTTGTGCATTGATGGATTGCCCTCACGCTCAGATTAACCTGTAGTCCAGTTCAAGGCATCTCGAGTCAAGTCTTCTGTATCCTGTTTCATAGAATTGTAGAATATCCTGAGTTGAAAGGGACCTGTAAGGATCATTGAGTCCAACTCCTGTCTCCACACAGCATCACCCAAAGATCATACTATATAACTGAATGTTTGTCCAGACACTTCTTGAACTCTGCCAGATCGGTGCCTGGGGAATGTGTTCCAGTGGCCAGTCACCCCCAGGTTAAGAATCTCCCTAACCCTCCCCTGAAGCAACTCCACACCATTCCTTCAAGTTTCAGCCAACTCTTTTAAGCATTTATTTTTACAACTTGAAAAACTTCGGATTTCTACCCGCACTGATTTAACTAACAAGTTTTGTTTTTAAAGCAACATTGGACTTTATTTATTTTAATAAAATAGTCCAAATAAGTAAAAATGTTAATTTTACAACATCTGTTTTGCAAGTGATTTTTGAGTACCACCTGTAAAATGCCCTTAAGTTGATGTTCTTCATGCTTTAAAAACATATTTAGCATGCAGTAAGAGGTATTGATCTTTATATGTGGTAGAAGGTTGTCTATTCAGAAATCATTCTAAATTCACTTCTGTTTGCCCAAGCTCTTGTGTATTTCCTTTAAGGAAACGTAGCACCTCATTAACCCTAAAAAAGAACAGCACTTTGTGGAGTATCTTTGGTATTCAAGATGCTACCAGTCCCTGGATGAAAAGATACAACTAATGCAGGTTTTCAGTGTGTCTGGATCCTGGGGGGTCCTGATGAGAAGATCCATGTTCTCCTGGAAGACTTGTCTTTAAGGTGACGAGGCATGAAATTTACATCTTAGAGCAGCTTTCATGCTAACTACCAGGTCTGTTGAACTTGTAGTCTGATAGGGTTTTCATGGCACAAATCCACAGACACCAGTCAGCAGCATTTGATTTGGCACAAGTGCTACCGTGAAAGGTTTTGACACGTGTGCTTGGTAGCCAGGAAGATGGTTTTCTATTAAAGCCCTGCTCCCAAGCAGTTTAATGGGAAGAAGATATGATGTAAATGTGTTTGTTTCAGGACATCCTGACAATGCCAGACACTTCAAAAAAGCAGCTTTGCTAGTGTCTCTGATGGTGAGTTAACACAGAGGGAAAGGTAGTGGTATTCAGCCACCCTTCTGTTGATAACCTTATAAAGCTAGATGATCTTATAGCTCATGCTTGCCCTGTGCTGTTGTATTTACTGTCAGCTTGTGACAGTGTGGAGAAATGCTAAATCCCATTGAACACATAAGTTTCTGTGCCTTATATCAAAATAGCCAGTTGCCTTTTTTTTTTCTCTAAAGACTTAGATGCTTATTATCCTGTATTCGGGGAGGGCATTCCTAATCTTGTTCATAAATTTTTCTTCTAAATTAATAAATCATTATAGTCAGAAACAATGTTTTAAGAAATGTAAACTGTGAACTAAAGTGAAGCTCTAAGGACACCCATACTGTGATTTATAGCTGTATCACCTCTTTTTTGCTGATAATCAAAAGGGAGATATCCCTTTATCAAAGATAGAATAAGAGCACAGATGAATTGTGCTGAAGTGACTTGATCATAATTGCTTGCTTAGAGAATCATAAAGTCATTAAGGCTGGAAAAGTCCTCTCAGATCATCCAGTCCAACTGCCAGCCCACCCCCACCATGCCCACTGCCCACGTCCCTCAGTGCCACATCCACATGGTTCTTGGACACCTCCAGGGACAGACTGCACCACCTCCCTGGGCAACCTGTGCCACTGCCTCACCACTCCTGAGAAGAAGTTTCCAAACACCCAACCTGATCCTTCCCTGGTACTATTTGAGGCCATTACTTCTGAAGTTATGAGGCAAGGATAATATGATTTGGATACTTTGCTTGCTATTTTAATTTGTTTCCATTCTGGGATTAAAAATGAAAAAAATACATAGTTGTGTTATCTGCTGGGTTTGTTTTGAAATATCGACCTGACTCACTGCTTAAACTGAAAATTGCTCAAATTCTTCCTGTACATGGGCTTCAACTGATTATTGGGATTAGAATTCATTTTTAGAGTTGGAAATTACGTATGTATTGGAGGAAATGAAAGAATTTTTAATAGGAGCCGAACCAATAAAACTTCATTACATGTCTGTCTTCTAAAATCTATTTGGCAGTTAACTTTCTAAGTCTGTAAATGCTGCTGTGCAGTGAGATTGTATTATGAAGAAGACTACTGCATTCTAGACCCAGTTATTAGGATCAAATTAGAGTCAGTATTAAAGAATACAATTCTAATCCTACCCCTTGCTTGTCAGGATATGTGGTGAAAGAAAACATCTGGTTGAGGTGAGAGGAAGTGAGAACAAATGTTATTTAATTCTCTATTGAAGATAACGCTCTTCAGTTACTTTTAAAATCAGTGAAAAATAAAATTTGCATCATCTGTCATGCCAGTAGGTGGCATTATTGGTACATAACCAGCAAGTGCTTGTCAAGGTGTCTTTAGCTCCTTTTGTTTTCCTAATAGTTAATATAAGATTTCATGCTATGTAGGCATAAGGAACTTGTGTTTGGTTTTCATTTCAAATTTATTAATTTAAAAACTTGAAGTCAAGTATATCAATTTTTAAGGTGTATGTAAGCTCTTTTCAGCACTGTTTAACTGAAATGACTTGTTAAATGACAAGAAGCTTTTTTTCAGTGTAACATAACTGTTAATTTTATACAGAGAGATCAAACTCCCTGATTTTTGACCGTGTTTGGAATTGTGCTTCTGGAACAGAAGTAGAGATCTATTTAGGAGCCTGGGATGCACCCTTTAGCAAACATGTGTCTTACTATTGATTATGGAATGCTGGGCATTGCAGACAGTTCCAAACCATTGTTACTATCTGAGATCAAGTTGGAAAATAAAACTGTATCTGGTAGTAGGAAGGATATTGAAAAAAATCCAACGAAAATCCAAGAAATTTAAAAGTAGGTCTTAGCATTTATTTGAACAGACTTGGAAAGACTGGTTGGTAATATGAGGGATAAATTATTAGTCATATCTAAGAATGGCAAGAATTAGCTAAGGGCATTAATTGATTTCAGAAGTTTAGTAAGCATTTAGTGATACTGTAGTATTACGTAAGGGAAGATTGATGTCTTTGTAAAAGATTTCCAAATTGCTGTTTGAGAACAGTATCTTAGGCAGTGTGATCTGCTCAATACGAAAAGTCACTCTTGGTACCCAACTAGAGGCAGTCATCTACGTGCCCTGTTAGAACTTACAGTAGGTTGAAACCTTCGGAAGTAGTTTGATGTTTTTTGAAGATTAGCATGTAAATAATCATATTTTGTCTGTGGTGGCAAGAGAGAAGTTCCAGACTGCAGCTTCTAAGGAAGCCTGAGGAGCTCCCAGAATTTGCTTGTCACCTGTCTTCATTACCAGATCTTCTAAGTACACCATTTATGCTTATTCTGTATGTTTATATGTGATAACCTAAAGCTAATCAAATTGATGCTTTTGTGATAAGAAATGATTTTCTTAAGCGATGTGGACTGGATAAATGGTTCTTTACGTGACACTTTCATGTTTTCACCCTAGCGGTGTTTTCAATGATGGTCTCACATTTATGAAAGCAGCAGTTCAGACTCACTGATTTGAGGTAGCTTTTGTAGAACAAAATGCCCAGAAAAGACTGTAAATAGTCCTTGTGAGAACTGCCTGGCATTTGATTTCCCCTTTATCTCTATCTGGAATTGAGGTTGAAAGAGATGGTCAGACGCTATGTACATCACTTTGTATTGAGGCAGCTTTATGGGTTTGAGGCTAGGCTTGAGTACACTTTCCTACTGCCATGATGATACTTTGAGGGAGAGGCAGAAGGAGGAAGTCTGCCCTAGAGTTCGTGCAGAAAACTTAGGTTGCTGATAAGCTATCTTGTCGTTCCAGGATGTTTTTTTAGACTTTTTTTTTTTGTTGCTGCCCGTGCAGCAATACTGTGTAAACAAGCAGAGGACTTTCCTCAGGTTACCTGGTTGTGTTCTTACTGCCTGATGTCACCAGCTGTCTGACTGAAATTAGTGGGAGGTCCTACTAACCACCTATTGAGCAGTCAACTACATGGCTATAATTGCCAAATGCAACTTTTGCTAAGTAGGATAGCATCAAGTGAGAACTAGTTGAAGGTGATACAAATACAAGTAGAGCCTGTGGCAGCGACTTTAGTGTCAAGTATTTCAGAACAGTATAGCCATATCTGTAATAAGTCCCATGACTTGAAAAAGCCCTGAGAAAAATCTACAGTCTGGTAACCCAGAGCTTTGTAAATGGAAAAAGAACTTTTGCAAAAGAATGAGAATGGAGTTAAGCTACTTTACATTCATATAAGAGACCCTGGTCACTTTCTGTTTCCAAAGTAAATAATTTTTCTGACAGCTTCCCACAGAGATCAATGTGGGGGTGGTGTGACATGCTGGAGAGAAAAGAGCAGGTTGTGCAGTTAATGACTGGTTTGCTTCAAAGCACAAATTATCTTTGTCTGTGTTTGCTTTGCAAAATGGTGACGTTAAGGAATTTTGGTAATGATTTTGTAGAATTCAGTCTTTTTCCTCCTATCTCTTCTAACCCAGGAAAATCCACGAACAGAAGACAGATGCTGACATCAGGTGCTACAACACTTACCAGAGAGTTCTTGTAGTTTTCATGTAATCCTACATCAGTAATTTGCATCTTAAGAAGTACTGGTGCTGTGCCTTCTTTAAAAATTTATAATTCCAAAATTTGGAATGTTATACTCCAAATAGCACTTGGCCTTCTCAAAAGTGGTAATCGTTATCAGTGTCATTTCTTGGAACCATCTGGTTCATGGAAAGTCTCATTGGTCTTTTTTGGTCTCCCCAACTCTCTTGCTCTAGTTTTATCAGATTCTTGATACTAGTGCTGGCTTAAAAAAAAAATAAAAATAACTTGTATGACTTGTATTGAGATTGGCTTAGTAATGCTGCTGTCTTCCAAGCTGTGTGGCTGTCCTCAGCTAGATTCAGCTCTCTGTTAAAAGCCATTGATTTTGAAGCTTATAGAATCTAACCAAAAGTTTATGCAGTTCTTAAGAGTAGTTTAAGTGGTTGTATTGCAAAATGTGAGGTTAATTCTCTTTAGACCTTTCTTAAAATAACCCTTTTGCTCAGCACCTAGCCTTCAATCTTGTAGAGTGTTTACTTACAAACTGGTCTGCTGGAGAGTTTGCAACTGTGGAAGGAAGTGGTAGGAATTACTTTGACCGCAGGAAAACCATTCTTTTTCTCATGCTGTATATTTTTTTGGCATGTGATAATTGAGAAAGTGCTTTCAAAATTACCTTCTAAAAACAATCATACACATTACTGTTCCTATGCTAGGAGACAGATTTACAAGACTTAATGTGTTAAAGACTGCGTTATCAGAAAACTGACTAGTTATTTCAATGATTTCTGTTGTTGGGAGAATTTTTGGGTTTGTTTTTATAAGACAGAAAAGATTCAAGAGTTCTCCCCTAAATGAAACGAGTAATTGAAACAGACAATTAAACACATTTTCTTTGTGAGGAAAGCACTTACCTAGAAACGTTTGTAGACAGGTGAATAAAATGTTTTGTTAAAGCATGCTGCTGCTTTTGCTGTTCAAGTTTTATGTGATATTACTCCTTGATCCTGTCTGTATCATTATCTTATGTATAGAAGCGTTCTATAACTGTACAGTACTGAAGTTCTACTTCCATTTGGGCTTAATGATTGCTTGTAAGTTGCTTAGAGTTTTCTTCCATACTGACAATATTTGAGAGTCTGAGAGTTTAGGTGGTAAAGTTTTGTCTTTCAATATAACTTCTTTTATGCTTTAAATGGCCTTTTACTGTGGTTTTTGAAGTCTTTGTCTCTTCAGAAATAAAAGAAAATAAGGACCTAGCTGTATTAATAAAACATTTTGAAAAGTAAAAAGAGTTGGTGCCAGGCAAACTGTTTGCTAACATGCTGTTCCAGATTTTACATGCTAGTATGGATGCTGTCTCTTGGCCGTAAAACAGAAGATTATTTGGATTGCACTAATTGATGTAACAGTAATTAACAAATGATTAGTAAAATTCCTTTGAGAAACTGAGCTGTCAGTCACCTTCAAAGCTAAGTTAAAAAAATATTTCTGCTTTATGTGCTTAAACAACTTTCCCCACTCCACCCAGAAACCAGAGTATTATGAGACTTTGGAAAAAAGTGCATTTGGATTTTTAGAAAAGTGCACATTGGGTAAATAAGAAACTAGTAGATACACTAAGCAGACACAAATTGAAAACACCCTTTCTTAAAAAATGCTTTAAAAAAAAAAATAAAATGAGCTATTATGCTTTAATGTTAAATGTGTTACCTTTCATGAGTTGACTTTGACTTTGCTTAGAACTGAAGCATGTGTTACTGTTCTTCCAGTTGTGTTTGTGTGTCCTTGCCAATCAGTTCGTACATACAGACAAATGTACTTTGCAGTTCCTGGATAGGGCCAGGCTGGTTCCGTAGCACAATGCCACAAAAACATTAATGTTCTTAAAAACCTTAAAGAAGCATAGTGTAGGTTATTCCCTTCATGCTGATGATGTAGCTGCAAGATAACTGTATTCGTAGAATTTTATGAATAATATAAGGAAGCTGGAGGCCATCTAATCTAGCCTAATGATCAAAGCAGGGGCAACTTCAAAGAATGGGGCCTTGAGTTACTGAAATTTTTATATAACTGCAGGGAACTTCCTAGGCAACCTGTTGCCGTTTTCATTGTGAATGTTTTTTCCCTGGCATCTAGTTGGAATTTTCTGTGCAGCTTCTGGGGACAGCTGCCTCTTTTGCTGTGCATCTCTGTAACTACCCATTTGACATTCAAAGTTGACAGTTAGATCACTACACGCACACATCTTCTCCTGCCTTAATCATCTCCAGGCTGAATGCATCAGGCTTCCTCAGCTTCTCCTTACATATCATGCACTTGAGTACTCTAACCACGTTAGTAATTTGACCAAAAAATATTTACCTGTGAGTTCTAAAAGTACTTAGTGAAGGTACTTCTGTTTTGTTCACCCAGTGTGATTCTAACATATAAAGTAATTAGGAAACACACTGGTAAGTGTGATAATGAGGAGGAGCTAATGCTTTTCCACAAGGTGGGGAAAAAGGGAAGTTAGAGTCTTTGTTCAAAGTCATGCTTTGAAAGAATCAACAAGCATGTGGATAAGGGTTATCTAATCAGTGTGATGCCCTTGGATTTGTTGAAAGCAGTGGTCAAAAAAAAAAGTTATCGGGCTTTAATCAGCCTGTTAAAGAACCTAAGGTGTCAGAGAATGGGACAGTCCTCCTCTGGGTTAATAATTGATGAAAACCAAACCAGATGTAATGAGGACCCCAAGTGAGGTATTACAATTCAGAGCAGTTATTAAAGTCCTTGTAGGTTACGTTATGGAAACATGAAATTAGTGTCTGTTGGGGAATAAGCAAATTAAATTTAAAGAATTACTTAGAAATCAACAGGGAATAAAATAGAAAATATGCTGCAGAGTTGTACAATAACATATGGCATCCTTTTTTCATGGGTAATGTGTCTCTGTCTCCTGCAAAAACAAGTCTCAAACAGCAGGAGAGCTCAAAGGTGTACATGCAGCATCAGAGGTAAGGAGAGGGCTCTGTACAGTTAGAGATCAGATGACAAGAATTCTTAACTTGATAAAGATGTTACAACTTTTATACTGGAAGTGGAACCTCCAGTTAGCTTTCTCGTCTTTCAAGCAATGAGAAGGTTTAAAAAAAGGCACGTTGGCAGAAAGCTGAGCAGAAGATAGGCAGGCACTTGTAGTTGGAGTAGTTTATATCATTTTCAAGCATTCTGCAAGGAGCAAGACAAAAAAAAAAAAAAAAAAAAAGGCCAGATAATGGTGGCTGAACTCAAAGGAGCACTGAAGGAACGGAAAGGTACTGCTGACTATACAAGAGCATTTAAAAGTTAGTTAATATGTGAGAGTGACAGGCTGCAGCATGGGTGTCTAACCTCTCGGCTTGTCTGGGCTGCACTGAGTGAAGAGAAATTGTCTGGGGCTGCATCTGTGGAGGCTGTTCTGAAAGTAATGCCTCCTAATTATTTCCATGGAAATTTCCAGACACAGTAGCACTGTTTAGTGGATTGAATTCTCAGCTACAAAATGCTGTTTTTCAACACAGTCACAGCTATTACCTGTGCATTTTCGCTTGCAATGAACACGAGCCTGCATGCTGTGCTTGTAACAATCCTGTAGCAACCTGCCATCTCTGCTGCTGAAACGCACTACTCAGCACCTCGCTGTACTCACATCCGCTGTTTGATCTCCATGTCAACGGTCAGCAACTGTAGATGAATGGCAGTGCATGCCATTTTTTCCACATGGAGGAATTCAGTGATTCACTTTTGCTTCATCCACCATTGTGTCAAGCTGCCCTTTGCTGCAATCTGTCACACAGCAACAACATGTAACAGATATTACAGAATCACAGAATGGCCCGGGTTGGAAGGGACCTCAAGGATCATGAATTTCCAACCCCCCTGCCACATGCAGGGCCACCAACCTCCCCATTTAATACTAGACCAGGCTGCCCAGGGCCCCATCCACCCTGGCCTTGAACACCTCCAGGGACGGGGCATCCACAGCCTCTCTGGGCAGCCTGTTCCAGCACCTCATCACTCTCTCTGTAAAGAACAATATTCGTCAAAGGTTCAGCCTCTGCTGCCGTACCACCATCATCTGCCTCTGACACTGTGGGCCAACATCATAGCTTGGGAAGTATTACTTTTGGAACAGCCCTCATAAAATGTGTAATATAGGTAATGTGTATAAGTAACAAAACTTTTTTATTTATTTAAAACATACAAAAGAGAATAATAAAAGCATAGTGCTGTTGGGATACATGACCCTGTTTTTGTGACACTGATGCGTCAGTCAGGTTCGATGGCAGTTCTCAGTGAGCTCTCCAAGTGTTCGTCCGAGGTTCGTCAGATGAAATCTTACTCTTGTGCTTCATCATAGAGTTTAGTTGTTCACAAATGTGCGTACTGCCAAAAGTGGTGACATGAATAAGGTGTGACTACGAAGCGAGGGATATGTTCTCTCTGCTAAGAGAGAGCTTCTGAAAGTCCAGTAGGTAGACATGATCAGATTATGGATTGCAGTTCTGTATGTTCCATTTGAAAACTCACACCTATGAATTTGATTTAGATTCAGGTGATTTACATCAACTGAAAATGGAGTTGCAACTAAACAAAAAAATTGATTCTCCTCTTGGCAATCTTGAAATCTGTTCTCAAATTCATTTATCACAACAGAAAGCGTGGCTGCATGTTTTTCTCTATTCACAGGACTGTGCTCAGCCAGTGTATCAAAACCCATAAATTTTGTTGCCATCACTTGAGCTGGCACTGCACTGCATCCTGTGCCCTAGTTTCATCCTGGATGGGGTTAAGAGTGTACCAATATTCAATTGGTGCTGAGTGATGGCTGTGCTGGGCCAGCTGCCCTAGACTGGGGGCTGCTCCATGGGGCAGAACCACCACCACGATGGTTCAGGGCAGGGGGCGGCTTGCAGTGTGAGCTGTGTGTGGCCACACACAGTCTGTGGGCTGTGGGTTGGACTTGCCTTGACTGTAGCATCCCGAGAAGCTGTGTGTGGGACCAACAGTAGATTCTGGTGCAAAGCTGTCAAGTTTGTCATGGTATAGGAATGGCAGCTAGGAAGTACAAGCCTTTGGGAAAGCAAGGCCTTCAGAATTGAGTTTTCTTCAACTTTCAGTTGATTAAGTGCATTCATTAGAGAGATGGAGAGTATCATGGACTGATCACGGACTATCTTTGTATGAGATAATGGGAAAAAGAAAGGCAAAGGAAGCTGTGCCGTGCCCTTCTAACTCCATTGGCCCCTTTAAAAGAGATTTGAGGGAAAGAACTGTCAAACCTCTAATCTTGTTTGCCCCGTGAATCTTTCCTGGTATCTTGTGGTATTGTTCATTTTTTTGGTTGTTGCTTGTTGGTTGGGTTTTTAGGAGGGTAAAGGGGGACGGAGACAGGGACATGACTGTCTTGGAACGTCAGATTTCGAAGGATACCCGATGTTGTATTTTTGTCTTATATAGTTAAAATGTAACCATCAGTGGCGACTGTGGATAGCTTATGAACAGGAAAATAACAGTTTTCCCTTCAGGGTTGGTCTGCATTTGTTCACATGTGTTTTGCTCAAATTCTGGCTTCTTGTAGACTTCTTTAATTCTCTCCAGCTGGAAGGGATCACCTAGGAGAAAGAGGAAGGTTGGAATTACTCTGTTGGAAAGTCCATGCTAAACAAATGTAATCTCTTGTAGATCAGCATGCCTCAGAAGGGTATGTCAGATGCTGGGGAATTGGGCATGGTTTTTAAGTGGTTAGGCAAAAGACTTTGGTAGCCACTAAGGAGAATTGGGTTGAAGAGGAGGGGAATATGCCTTCTATCATAAACCTGTTAGCTCTACTACTGTGCTTTGGCAGAATAAGTGAACCGCAAGGAGTTAAGTCATGCTCATACTAGATCACTGAGATGATTACACAAAAGGAAGGGGAGAAAAATATATTAGGAATCTTAATTTCTTTCTGCTTCAAGAGCATGAATGCTGCATTCATTTTGGCTTTCTGTGGCGCTCAGAGCTAGTTTCTGTTAGTAAGCCTTGGTAATACTTATGAAACTGGAATTGCAAAAATAATACAGTTTGGCTGACATGCAGATTTCTACTTCTATTTGTTTTTAGGAGTTGTTTCTCTATTGGCTGTTCATCCCTCTACAGTAAATACACTCGGAAAACAGCTCCTGCCAAAAACATTTGGACGGTCTAATGTCAACATTGCACAACAAGTGGTAAGGAGATGTGTTGTTTTCTTTTAACTTACGTGCTGTAAATCTTAGTTGCTGATATTCAGTATCACTTGTCATGTGCAGATTGTCTAAATGTTTCTAGCTTTAATAGACTCACTAAATTAGAACAAATGTGCTTTTGCAGAAGGAAATGAGAAAATGACATTCAGATCAATAGGCAGATACCTGAATATTCAGATTGCTTTCTTTTTTGGTAGTGTTGCCACTTTTAATCAGTGGCTCTTTCACTTGTTCCTTTGAAATCTGTCATAGAGACATGTAAATGAATTCTTCTAGCACGTTTTTAGTGAGATTGAAGTCAAGTGGAACAAAATTGAAAGCAATTTTGAAAGCGAAGTTTTCTTTATTCTAAATTGAGGTATCCTTTTGCTTTAACTTTTACTGTTGTTTTGTGTGAGGCATATGAAATTAGGATTCAAGGAATCTAATAATGAAGTTGAAAATACACAGGTTATAAGAAGCCACTTCTGTAGTGATCAGAATTAAAATGTGGTGATCTGAAGAGAGTAAGTCTCAAGGTTTCCATCTTATGGAAAGCAACTGTATTGTGTAAAGATCTGAAAGTTAATTTGTCTTACGTTTGAGTTTCTTGATACAAAAACAGTTTACCATCCCCCTTTCCCAACTCTTAAGCTCTAAGGAGCAAGACTGCCTAAATCTATAAACTGTACCACTTCAACTGTACAGCTGTTGTGGAAAGTCTAGTCCCTCTAGTCCTATCTTTATAACTGCTTACCAGCTGTGCTTTGAAATTGTTACCATGCTCAGAGAGCTGCTCTGGTGTAACTGTCAATTTGAAGAGCACAGCGAGGGAGAAGAGCAAAACCAACAAGCCAAGAAAAAAAGCAAAGCAATGAGAAACCCACAAACCTCTACAGTCTCCCATGT